AAATGCCTTGACAGTACTTGAATGTGAGGACTAGGGGTTGATTTTTGCAATGCTTTTTCTTTAGCGATTTTCAAGTTGAAAATTACTGTACTTACATTGAAAAGCTGAGAAATAATATTAAATAATTTTAAAATTGCTTATGCAAACCTTTCCAAAAGTGGTCCTTCAATTTTCTAACACTTGGCCTACAAAGTCATTGAAAAGTCCTACAGATGCCAAAGGTTGAAATTCAAGGAACCTACTCCTGTTTGGTAATATTATTTTGATTGTTGTCTAGTACCATAACAACATTCATCACACTCCAGCGGACAACAAAAAACAAAAAACACAAGTAGACTTATTCGTGACCAGCAGTGACGAAATGGGGCGACGACAATAACAATGGCAATATGGCAGTCCCCTATAAACGCAGCTATGCGTCTAGTTCTTTTTAGTTTTTGGCGCTGCCAGCTGCCACATCTCAGCCAGCCCACGCTGCCACTTTTCCACCATTTTGCACATGTGTACAGAGGATGTTGCCTCATATATGTAGATTGCTTTTTGTCCATAACTGCTGCCTCACAATCTGACCCTGTTTTATTCGAGCCTGCTAAACGTTCGAACGTTCAAGTGACGTCTGCAACTAGATTCAAGCGATGGTGTGGCAAAATTCTTGATGAAATTTTCAAGTTTATTCAGTCAAAAACATTTGTGGACACTTGGCACTTTAAGGAAAACTTTATTTATTTCGGAATATATTTACCCAAGGGGGAGTAGGCGTCGCAAATGGAAAAGTTGCCATTGGTTGCAAAACAAAGTATTTATTTTTTTTATTATTTGGATCCGAGTAGCTGGCACGCCCAAAATTTTCTTCTTGATTAAAAGTGAATTAGCTATGATGTGAATCCAGCTTGATTTTGCTGGATCTACATTTGACTTGCATATGTAAAAATTTTGTTTTGACTGTTTCAGGAAACAGTGAAATTACACCACTTTGGTTATACTTGAAAAAAGTTTCCTAATGAGATTTTCCTATGTTTATCCAAGATTTTGGCCAAGCCTTGTGATGCAGTACAGAGTGGTTTACACTATGCTTGTAAGTGGTTTTCTCTGAGCATGTTGAGTTCTCTTTATTTGGTATCCTTGTAGTAATCCAAGTATGTTAGTGTGTTTGTCATGTGATGAGATACTTCACAGACCTGTTCTGATTGCTTGTGAGGAATGTGAATGTCTGCTGATGATAAACTTCCTGTATCATGTCACTTTCCAATTTTAACTTTATTTCAATTAAATGGTTTGAAAAGGAGGGAAATCAAAGTAACAAACCTACATTCAATTCTCAGTTTGCATCTGACTGCCAGAGAAGGTTACGTCACATGTAGTTTTGTACACCAACCTTAGAGTCCAAGGAAAAGCAAAACTAGTGTGATCTCAGATTACTCTTGACAATTGTTTATGAATTGCTCTAATTAAGCATGTACATGACATTCTCAGGTCTCATTTATGAGAAATGAAGAGAGTCTTTGCATTGTCTCGGATTTCTCCGTCAAATTTATTTTATTGCTCATCCACTTCCCTCTATGGTACTGCAGATCTGAAAATGGTGAGGGGTGACTGAGAAAACATTGCAGTTCAAGAGGAAAGTCAGAAAATAAGGTTGTTTTGAAAGGTAAGTTTTTTTGTGACAGCAATATGAATAAGTTAATGCTGACAAAAGTAAAATATTTCATTTAACCCATGGTATAAAATGGATTATACAACCCATTTTACCTAAAGTAGATTTAATCTGTATCTTGATATGCCAACATTTGCCATTCACCAGCTATTTTTTGAGGATTTCTTCATTGTTGATAAAAGGCTCAAAATAACACAGAATGTTGTAACATTAATCCAATTTTCTTTTCAAGTGGAGAAATATTTTAAGGACATTTCAAGCTTGTGCTAGCCTTATAGATTTACCATCATTGGACTTTTCTGTAGTGAATCTTGTTTCTATTAATCTACATGTACTTTGCAGTAATAAAGTTGTGATGGGCAGTGAAGAGATTATGTCTCGTTCGTATGAACATCTGATTAAAAGTAACCTCGCAGAGCTATCACAAAATTAGCTTTTTTTGTCAAATTGTAGAGTCTGGAAATGGAAAAATTAAGCAGGGTATGTTTTTTCTTTCTCTTAGTGACAATGAACAAAAGATTTTATCAGGTTTGAATATGTCTTATGTCATTTACACACTAGTTAAGATTATATAATGAATTTATTATTTGAATATTGAACCCACTAGTAATTTCAAGACTGCAATAATGGATTTATTATTTGAGTATTGAACTAGATAGCTGTAAAGATGTTAATTTATGTATGTTGAGTTAATTTATACAGTTTACCTTGCATCTGAGTTCCCGGATGTATTTGTCTGCTTCGCTTGATGTGCACTCAGCTTACAAGATTAAATGTTGTGTTTAGAGTCTCTGGTGTTTCACTGTCTGTCTTAGTGAACACGTTACAATAGCTGTATTCATTTTGAAAAGGCACTGATCATAGTTCAAATCATCCTCGGAGACCCAGGGGCTGTAGGTCGGTTTCAAGTTAGGGCATGAAGAGCCCCTGGGGACATTGTCTTACAAGACCAGTTCCAAACGGTTGCAGTCACTCTGCCATCCGATTGGTGCCAGAAAATCTTTGTGTTTTTCTGCCCAATCAGAGTGAAGTGTACTTTGGAGGCCTTTCGTGTGTTGTAACACGGACAAATAGGAATAGCTCAGTTGCTCGCTGTATTTGATAAGGCCATGCGACGGAGATTTGCTTGAGGTGAAAAGTTTCAGTCTCAGCACACAATGTAAGAGAAATCGATCAGATTGTCCACGAAAATCTTACCGGAAATTTTTCTGAATACTTTCGTAGGTATCACTAGGGAATGTGTTTTAAAGTTTGTGAGGTTTGTATACAACACGATGGTTGCAGTCATTGATATGTCACTTTAAATGTTAAACGAGATTTAAGCTTTAATCTTTTCTAGATTTTTTGGGTAATTTGCTGTGACTGAAACTTTGCCAATCCCGTAAAGTTATTTCATCGCACGGGCCACGCAGGTATGTCGAGCAACTGGCGCTTTTGCCTACCTAGCTTTCTGCTTTCTTTGCGCGACAAAATCTAATCTTCGCTTTGTAGTAAAGTCGTTCACAATACGGCTTAAGTTTGTGGACGACCTCCAGCAAGCGCTTAGAGAAAGCTTAGCTGTGTTTCCGGGTAGCTAATTAAAATCTGAACAAAAACTTATTTACGAGAATATCGTGGGACGGAGAGATTTTTTCGGGCAGTCACGGAAGGGGTTTGGAAAGAGTTTAATCTTTCAACTGCTACCTAGAGTGTTGAAATTCTTGAGCTAGGAAGGCAACGGATTTTCTTCTAGTCCCCTTGACCACTTTCATAAATGGCTGCCGGATTAATATTCTTTTGTTTGAATTTAAATTAGCCTTTCTGGCCTCGCTTGAGATAATGGATGGAAAGGGCGGGTTTGCTTTATGGCAAACGTCAGCTTAATAGTACAGGGTCATCTACCCACATCTAATAAGCAAAAGTTTCCATGCTTNCTGATCATAGTTCAAATCAGAAATTGACTTGTGATTTGAACAAGGATTTGTGCTATTCTCTTTTTGCTTTTATTGTTGCTGCTTTGTTGTTTTGTATCTTACCAAATTAATTGTGTAAGGTTTCTTTACTGATTAAGTTGTTATTGTTGACAATTCTTTGGTTTAATGGAGAATAACTGCTCTAGGTTTTTTTTGTTTTGCTGCTTTTTCTGATTCAGATGTGTTAAAAGAATATAACAAATATTTGGGGCTACCCTTTTTACATGTAGTTATTCCTTATCTTACAGTGGGAACATAAAGGACATGCCAAACACACTACTATGGAGGCAGAAGGAAATCCAGTCTCAGTCTTTGGATATTTTCTTTTGCAATCCTCACTTGAACTTACATAATTATTATTCACTCCTATTGTTCAGTCTGAATTTAAAATTAAATGATGTGAGGTTAAAAATCATTTTGTAAGAGTTACTGCTTGTAATAAAATTTATTAATCCCAAATAAGTGGTTGTTTGGTCCTATATCTTGACAGCAGGCAATTAACAACCTTGAACCACCTGAGTAACAATTTCTTTGCTTGTTTTGCAAGTACTCAAGAGTTATTAATAGCCAGATACTGTAGTGCAATTGGATAGAAGAGCATTCTCAGTGTTAATGGCCCTGCGTATTTCTAAATTGATATATATATATTGTAACTTCAGTACATGGAAAATTATCGGGTTTGAAGCAACATAAGCTTCCTTTTGCTTGAGATAAAGTCTTGAAGGCATCTTTTATGTTATGTCTTATGAAGGTGGAATGCAAAGTAGTGACTGGTGACTTGTCTTCATCATGCAGTCTCCACTCCAAAGAAAGCAGATTGAAGGGAAGATTACTTGTAACCCCTATAGGTTAAAGAATTTATCCCTTAGTATTCCCACTGAACATTTGCTCAATCAATTTTTTTCTGTCATGGTTGTCTCATCTTGCCTGAAAGCACATCAGTGACATGTGCATGTTGGCTTTGGAAATTCTTGTCTTGATTTGCAATTCATTTGGGAGGTATCTGTGTAAAGAGAATCATCTTTTCAAGTATTTGTAAAATTGAACGAGCTGTTTCTATTGGAGGCTTGAAATTGATGTGGATGGGTGAACATTCCTCTTGCATTCCTTCCTATCCCTAGCCCCTTTTAGTTTCTTATGCCGGGTTTAGACAATTAAGAGCCGTTACACCACCTATTTGCCGAAACAAAGATGGCGGAGTACGGGACTTCTTTAGAGAAAGCAATAAAAAGTGAACTGTTTTCGTGGGTAAGAAAGGCATACTTGAGCTCAGATGTAATTACAAACAGTGACTCAAAAGCAGGATTTTTTGCATCGTGATTTTTAGGGGGCAAACAGCTACCGACAACTCTGTTGTGGCCACAAGAAGGATGTCTCGCTTCCTGAAAACGTTGATGCAAGTTGCTACCCAGAAAACTTTGTTGTAGCGGCGATAGATGGAGGTGGAGGACATACAGCAATTATCACAGGTTACATACGTGCAATTTTTCATCAATTTTTCAGATGCAATTTTCTCTCTCGTTGGGGGAAAGCCCATCGTGTTTCCAGCAAATGACTGCCTAAAAGTAAAGGTCCACTACTCTTGTACCATAAATTATATGTTTTAACTGCTCTTTGCTCATGCATATTTGTGTCCACAGTTCTCCATATCATATCCATCCCCTAAGCTGTGAGGATCTGATGCGCTAAAATAAGTTTGGATGTTAAATCAACAAGTCAACTTTGTCAGCCCTAGAACATTGCAAAATTAACATTTTGCCTACCGTAATCTCATCCAATAACTTTTTTTGAAATAATATCCAGACAACCGTGAGCTGTTTATGTGTGGTTGGAATAACAAAGGTCAGCTGGGACTTGGTGATACAGAGAATAGACAAGTTTTGTGTCATGTTCAAGGTCTCGGTTGTGTCAAAACAGTTTCATGTGGATGGAATCACACCTTAGCTGTCACTGGTAACACTCAGTTTTAAATTTGCTTTAAGTTATACAGCTTTAATCACAAGTAACTTATTGAGCTTGATGAATCAGAAACAACAAAAGCTACTCTTTTTCTATNGTTTCTTTTTCTAATTTTTTGTTTTCAGTCAGCCACACCATCACTTATTTAAGTGTATATTAGGAATTTTTATTTATTTGGCTTCTTTATCTACTCTCTAGTAGTATTTCACAAATGAACAAGTTATCAGTATAACAGCAGGACTAAGGCATTCTTTAATTACATTGGGTGAGTCAGATAAAACTTCAAAAGAAAACCATGCTCCGGTAAATATGTAAAGAGAGACAAAATTATTAGCTTTGGGGATATCATTCTGATATAACAGAATCCCCTAGACAATGTGCAAGGAAGGGTAAAGTAGCTGGAAGGGGAGTATAGGGTTGTAAATATAGAATACTTCATGGAAAGTGCACGGTGTTTACACACAAGTTGTGGCGTGTCAGAAATCGAACAAGTGAGCAAAGTGAACGAGTGAGATTTCTGATACAAAACAACGAGTGTGTAAACGCTGTGCAAAGCACTTTCCATGTGGTATTATGTTTGTTATATACACACTGAGATTGAACACCCTCCTTAAATTATGACAAGCTTTATTTAAACAAATGTGGTCGAACAACAATCACTGAAAGAAAGCAGCTTTGTAAAAAGGGAAAGAGCTCAAATAAAATCCAAAAGTTATGAATCCAAAAGTTATGAATCATGGATAACGAAATGCTTTTCGCTCATGGCTTTTGCCGAGACAGGAACTTTCAGTATTAACAATGGAAGAAATGCAAATATAAACTATTTGCAAAGCGATGGCTTGTGCGGTGTACAAAATGCGGTGTGTAAAATCCAAAAGTTATGAATCGTGGATAATGAAACGCTTTTCACTCATGGCTTTCGCCATGACAGGAACTTTCAATATTAGCGATGGAAGAAATGCGAATAAAAACTATTTGCAAAGCGATGGCTTGTGCGGTGTACAAAACCGTGCCAACCAGCCTTGAATGAAAACTTCAACTTGCCGCACGGCTCACATGTGAAAAAACATGATATGCAGCTCCTGATTGGACGTATCGCTTTTCTCACATGTGGGAAAAGCAATACGTGACATTTGATTGGTTTACATCGGTTTGCGAACGAAAATTTAATCTGCGGCTTTTCCGTGTCTAAATCTCAGTATGTATATAATAACAAGTGATACTTGTGTTAAGACTTTAATTTGCATAAACATAGTATTGTAGATGTGTCACTTCATGTACATTTAAATGTACTGAGCAGCTAACAGAGCCCGAAATATAAATGTGACATTTACAGTGTAGACCTCATGATCTTGAATACTTGGGACAATGAAAAATTGGTTGAGGCAGCAGGGGTTTGAGAAAAAAAAAGTTTGGAGAAAAAAGTGGCATAGTTGGTAACTTAGATGTTCATAACAAAGGGTTCAGTGCAAAGTCCATACAATTTCATGCACTGTTGACATCTTCTAATTTGTAATGTTTATCTTTCATGTAAGCTGATGGATCTGTGTGGTCTTGGGGAGCAAATAAGAAGGGACAGCTTGGCATGGGAAAAACTGATGGCAATTGTTCAACTCCTCAACAGGGTTAGTGTATTTGTTTTGCCTGTCATGGTAATTTTGCTCGTGCTGCATCATTATGAAATCTCCATATATCAGCACCGTAGTATTGATGGATTTTCCACAATTGCCTATAGTTCTGTTCTCAGATGGTCAGCAGATAACTGAGGTTGTGGCAGGAGCATACCATTCAGCAGCATTAACAAGTAAGAATCTATCAATTTTATAAATACTCTTTTTCAATCAAATTATCCTGGTGGTCTCTTTGTTAAAATCTCATCCAAACCAATGTTCAT